AGACTACCCTGCAACAATACATGATTATCATCACTACACAGCAATGAACAAGAATACATGAATTATTGGTACTCCCGACAATGGATAAATTGTTTCAAAATGCTGAAATAAATAATTCTTAACATACCATTTCACCTTTATCACCACCATCACCAGAAGTTCCAGGAGAGCCCTATGCAAATAAAATGATACATGCTTTAAACTAGAATCTAACTGGACGTCCTTGTCTTCCTCTAATGCCATTGTTTTCTGAAGGTCCTTGAACACCACTGTCACCAACATCTCCCTATAATCATAAATTACATGCATGTACATATTATCAAGTTATTTTTCAAAATTACTTTAAATCCTTGTGGACCTCTTTGTCCAGCAGGACCCCTTATCCCCTAAATTTTTTTTATTTTTCATGACTACAATTATCAACTACATGCACCTGTTTATCAGCTCCTACTTTGACCTTTATTCGCTAAAATATCAAAGAATAATAGCTCACTATACAATTTCTCAATAACTTACTGGGCAATCAATAACAGCAGTGCTAGCTTTAGATGAAAAAATCAAATGAGAAACCTATAATGATATGGAAGTACATCACAAAAAGCATGACTGCTCTATACTTTTGGCATATTTGAAGATGATGCTGATCCAAAAATAGAAATGTCTTTAGTACTATTTATCCCATGAATTAAATCAGGCTGATCAGCAGAAGTTAACTCATAGCAGTCAACAAAGGCAGTGACAGTGCAGCCATAAGCTATTCTCAGTCCAATTGTACGGTAGGTAGAATTTGATGCTGGCAATACAAACTTTATTGCTTCTCTGTCTAATATCTGTACACTGAGAAACTTCTGCTCTGTTCCTTCTCTCATAATATCAAGTTTAACAATGACACTGCTGGATTCAGTTGACCACACAAAGACATTACCAGTATAGTTACTATCAATATGAGCAAAATAAGCACTGTTAGGCAGCCTCTTGCTGAGATTAATCCAGTCACTATTATTTGCTGATATAGTAATTGGATGAGATAATTGATAAGCTTCCAGCCCATTTGACTCCCTCACAAACATTACATCATCACCAACTCTCCCATTTAAGTTAGCAAGTTCAACAATATCAAAGAAATCTGTATAATAGATTGCAAGTCATTAATTTGTATTAGCACCTTCTACAATACTTACCACTACTGCAGATACATGATTGACATAACACTGACAGAATCAGTGCTGCCTTCAATACTAAAAACACAATTTTCTCCATCATTAGGAGGTTTGTACTGTTTGACTATTACTTGTTTTATTACTTCACAAGCTAGCTTTGTTGAGTAACAATAGAGCCTCATGCCCAGTTGACACAGTTCAAAACCACAAGTAAATCTAAGGGAAAATACCCATGTTAAAACAATGCCAAATAAAAATTAGGAGACAAGCATCATATTTTACTGGATGAGCTAGTAGATCCACATGTATGCAAATCTAAACCATACTGTCATAATGGTAACAATACTGGTACAAATTTTTGAGTGTATAAAATTTTGTGCTTTTGTGAAAACTCTGTTTTTAATTTCAAAGATATTAATTTTTGTATCTATGTAAAATGTATGCACTAGGCTGGCATGCATACGTACATACTGCACATGCACAGTGAGTATTTTCAAGACATTAATCTTTGTGATCGTGACCCAAAATCAAGTACACTATTAAATTTTATACCTATATAGTGCTTTTACGTAAAAAGTAGACAGTTACTAAGTAGATAGCTTAAAATATTTACAGTCAAACTAACTTGTATTTTTGTTTCCTTCACTCATAGTAATTAAGGTAAAATTAAAGAAAAATGATTGCTTTAATTGTGAGTCAAATCAATCCCTGTACCTGTCAATAAGAATGATAATACAGTTGTAAGTGCAACAATAATCAAAATTAAAGTCCCATTAAAAATAGTACAGGGCATGCAGAGAAATCAATAAAACAGAGACAATTGTAAGCTAATGGCCACACACTCACTGTTTCGAAACCAAAGTATATGATTTGGTCTGCTACAGCAGAGCATAATTTTTAACATATTATCCAGGGTTTCCCATAAAACATGCTAAGTGAACTAAACAGCATGCTGACAGTATTACAATGCATTTCGAGCAAATTAAAAAGTCATAAAAAATCCAAATTTTTAATCTCAAATTTGACACAACATAAGGATAAGTAAATGTATCAGAAAAAAATATAAAAATGAAAAATTCTCTCCTAGTAATGAAATTTGGCCAAAGTTCCTGTACTATGGTACAGGGTGTTTGGCCCAATTCTTGACAATTCACTGACAAGAAGCTGCATTGAGCACTATGCCAAAATTCTGTGGGAAACCATGGTCTTACCACAAGTGATAATAATGGTTTCAAGACCTATACTTTTTGATGAAATTTTCTTCTCATATCCCAATTGTATGAGTTTTAAAAATTCTGATAACAAATGGTTTAATAGTGAAGAAAAACATCTGTGGTGATAATAAAGTGACATATATGTCTGTCATGAGTCAGACAACTGTATGTACAGTACAAGTAGTGCACAAAATGAACACTAAAATAGATAGAGCTAATAATATACACTTAATATTGCCTAGCTTTTAAATGATAGACTCTCTCCATAAAAGAATATTATTAGTTACACTATGGTCTCTCGGGTAATATTCATAGTTTACTGTTTTTAACACACATTGTACCATATCCCTAATCCAGTTTCATATTAATTATACACAAAATTTATAAAGTCATTTGAATAATACATAATAATAATAATTATTATTAAACTGCCTTCATGCCCACTCATAAAAAGAGACACTATAAATCTGATTGCAATGGCCTGTATACCATTCTCTGTTGTGCCATCGAATGACAAAAGATATTGATAATCATAATTTTAAAATATGCTATAGCACCATGTGCTCACAAATAGTAAAATGCATCAAATATTTATAATGACTATCTTTTAGATAATCAAAATGCATACACAAATGGAGCAACAGAAAGTAATAAAAAATAAAGTATTCAGTGAGTCAAAAAATCAAAAAATAATCAGAATTTTAAGAAAGATAAGGAAAATTATTAAGTCTTTCATTACTTACACCATGTTTAGTCTTACCACAAAGCAGAAAAAGGTTTTTTGTAATTAAAAATAAATGGAGGTACTTCTAATAAAATATAATGAACTACCATATAGCTGGCAATTTCAAAGGGGTAAAATTTTCATGAATTGCTAATTTTTGACCATGAGCTATTGAGATAAGGGGTTCAAAAAGGCGGGTTTAATTTTGGCAAATGACTATCAAAATGCCAAATTCACCAAAATTTCCAGTTATACAGTATAATGAAAGGTGCTTGAAGTGCGTCACAATTTAGGCTATGTCCATTTTCATAGTGGTAAATGGCATTTTCCTCCAATATAATATTATGCCAGTGGGGCTGACTAATTTCAGCATTATTGGCCAAGTATTTGCTTTTAACCATTCCCTAAAGCACTGGAAATTGCTAAAATGATAGTCAATGGGAGTGAATATACATGTAATTTCTCTAAGCCCAGGGGGGGGGTGCTCAAGCCATCAGCCCCTCCCTTTAGATATACATGTAGTCTCATTAGCCAGACCCTTGCAGTCACTGGGGTGGACCTCAATGACTGTAGGCAGGCAAGGGTCTCGCTAGCGAGACTACCTTGGATATGCTATACTGCTACATTCTGTGGGCAAAATTTTATCCAATTTTCCCTAATGTAGATCCACTCTAGTCAGTGTTGTTTAAGTTACAAAATGAGACTTTTAGCTAGTATTCTACTCCATAATGTGTTGTATTTTTTAAAGGAAAAAAGTATTTCACAAAATTTATTATTAGTTTAGATCAACAATTTAAGTACAGATAATATTACATAGATCTAAATCTAATAGCGTGTAATTATATTATATCATGCAGCCACATGACACAGGATTTAAAAACATTTAAGAGAATAATGATAATAACAATGATAATAATAATAATCAGGACCCATCTCACTTTCTGAATTCTGAGAGCCACAATTTTATGTCTCAGGGACACACGTACCAAGTGGCATAGGTGTAGGAAAGAGGGGAGCTGAAGCCCCCCAACTTTTCAGCAGGAGGGGCTTAGCCCCCCCAACTTTTGGTAGATGAACAATAAGAAATACCATCACATGGCTTTATTTCAAGTTGTTAGTAGGTTATTACTAGCTTGAAACTTCATTTACTTAAATGGGCA